TCCCCCCCCGACCCCCCAGCCCGCGGGGTCGCTCTCGGCAATGGACGCCGCAAGCTCTGCACATCTGCGGCTCTAGTGCGGAGAGCGAACCCGCACCCTTTGCCCCCCGCCCGCGGAGCCCCCCGTGTGATGTCGGGACGGGCCGGAGCCCCGGCGGTGTCGGGCAGTGCTTGGGAACTGCAGGGGGGACCCGCCGAGCGGGCCCGGCCCCGTGGAACGGGGGATCCAGGGGGGGCGCCGACTCCGGCCCTCGCGGCTTTATTAAAACTGCCGCCCCCAAGCCCGCGTCTGCGGGGACACGGCCCGGGGGACAGGGGGACGGACAGCATGGGCGGGGGGAGCAAGGACGGAGCGAGGGACGGGGGGGGGTCGGGTTGTGCAGAGGAGCAGGGAGGGGGGAGAAGGGGCAGGCCGGACGGGACGGGGGGGCCGGGCTGTGCAGGAGGGCAGTGACAGGGGCCGGGGGGAGGCGGCGTGCGGGGACGGGCAGGGCGGACGGGCGGGAAGGAGGGCAGGGCGGATCGGGGTGTGCAGCAGGGGCCAGAGGGGGAGCGGGGCCAGGCTGGCTGGGTCAGGCCGGCTAGGGGGCCCAGGGAGGGAGGAGGGGGTCGGGCTGCCCCTGCGGGGCAGGGACGGGGCGCAGGGCACGAGCGGGTTGGGGAGGGAGGGAGGGGGGGCTAGAGGGGAGGGGGGGGGGGTTGGGGGGGGGAGGGTGTGGAGATGGGGGGGGAGGAAGGGAGGGGACAAAGGAAATAAAGTAAAAGAAAAGGGAAAAGCAAAAGCAAAGAAAAAGAACCGCGGCAGCGAGAGGCTCCCGCGGCGCTGCTGCCTCCCCGCGCACTGCCCGAGCAAACAGCAGCGGGGGCGAGTTCCGGCGCTTAAATACCCCCGCCCCGACCCGCCCCCGGCCCGTCCCCGCCCCGCGCACCTGGACGGGCCCCGCCTCGCGCACCTGTGCGGGCCCCGCTCCGCCCCGGCCCCGCCCCGGCCCCGCCCCAGCCCCACCCCGCCCGCGCCGTTCAAAGCCGGCAGAGCCACGGTCGCCCCGCGTTTGTGGAAGAAGCTCGTACCGGGATGCTGCGGGAGCGATCGGCGCTCGGGGCCGGAGTCCCGGCCCGGTGGCTGCTCCCGGTGAGCGGGGACGGCACTGGCACCGGAGGACCGAGGCTGGCTTGGAGCTGCGATGGGCTTTGGCAGCGGTACGGGAATCGGCATCGCCGGAGTCGCTCCGGGCCGGGCGCTGGGGCCGAGCTCGGCAGGGCCACTCGGGCCGGGGATCTGCCGGGGCCCGGCTGGGGGAGAATGGCGGCGCTTTCCTTGTACAGACGCGGAATCCGGGCCGGAACCGGCCGGGGCACGGGGACACGCCGGGTCGGCCCAGGGACCCCCCGATCCCGCCGGGCCCGCAGCGCCGCCCGCACCCCCCGCGGGATCGGAGCTCCTCCCTCTCGGGCACCCCCGAGGCCATCGCAACCCCCCCCGAAGAACATCGCCCGCCTCCCTCTTCCCCGCGGCCCCAGGAGGTTCCCGCTCGCAGGGCCCCCCGGGAACGAGAGCTCTGGGGCCCGCCGGGGCTCCGGCCACGGACCCGCTCCGGCCGCGGGGAGCCGGGGCCCTGCCGGGGCAGGGAAGAACGGGGGCAGCCGCTCCCTCGTTCCTCCCGTGCTCCGGGACCCCGAGCAGAGCTGCCCGTCTGTCCCCGCGTCCCTGTGTCTGTCCTCAGGCGGCCCCAGGAGCCGGCGCTGACCGTGCCGCGGGTCGGGCACAGGCTGCTCCCGGCTCTGCCTGCGGAACTTCGGGAATTGCCGATAGCAGTTCTTTGCCCTGCCATCCAGAAGGTGCGGCTCATCTGAAACCTGCCAGGTGAGACCTGAGGCTCTCCTTCCTCTCCCCCGCTTTCTTGGCAACTCACACCCTCCCGGGGCGAACCCTCTGCTTTTTAAAAATCCCCCATCTTTATTTGCAGACAGGGAAGGTCCTGCCTGGGAGGGAAACGGCTACAGGGGAGGAAACCAAGAAACGCTCCAACCGAACGCTGCCGCGCGAGTCAAAGGAGGGAAGGACCGCAGGCAAATACAGTCAGGAAATCCGCTTTTATTAAATCTCTGCAGCGTTAAATCCCCCCTTCCCAGCCACGGGCCGGAGGGAGCAGGGCCGGCTGGGCTGTGCCCGGCTGGGGACGGGCACCAATTCATCACTGCCGTGCTCAGGGAGGTTTTCCGGCCGTGTCCGGGATTCACCCAACGGCTGCAAAGGTGCTCGTGTGACTTCTGAGCTCATTTGCAGGGATAAAGGAGCCAAACGAGTCCAGAGGAATCCCTCGCTCCGAGGCAAAGGCGTCGGTTGAGTGTCGCCGCCTGGTCCCGCCTGCGGGGGGGCATCTCCTCCAGGTGAGCCTTCGGAACCCAAAATGCGGGGGGGGTTCAGGTCGGGGCCGCTTTTCGGGCCCGGAGTTGGATGGAGCCCTCGGCGGCTCCTGCTTCCCGCCAGGAACGTTCTCGGGGCTCCCCGGGCAGTCCCAGCTGGGCAGGGAACGCGGGCCGGGAGGAGGCCGGAGCGACAGAGAGCGACCCAGCCTTGCTTGGGCTTCCTATTGCCGGGGGATGGATGAGCTGTGCCCTGGAGCTGTGCCCCGCAGCCCCTGTGGGGTGGGTACGGGGAAAGGGCTGCCCGCGGCTCCTCAGCCAGATGTGCATCCCTTTCCTCGGGGAAAAGAACTCCCCGGGGCCGCTCCCGAGGCTCCGAAGGGACAGCGGCTTCCCGCCCGGAGAGACGTCCTCGCCCGTGCTCAGGGGCTGCCTTGCCCCGGGCCGGGAGCGCGTCCGGCCCCCGCCTTCTCCTGGGCGAACACATCCTCTGGAGCCCGGTCCGGGGCGGAAAACCGGCCGAATTCCAGGGAACTCGCTCAAGTCCCCCCAGGGACACCAGCGGGGTTGGGGGAGGAGGGTTAGAAACAGCAAAGTCTGTGGAATATCAACCTGTCCTTGTCCCGATCCCGCTGAGTAAACCAGGAACCGTGGCTGCTTCCTGGCAAACGTGGTATTAGAGCGGCAGCTCTGCGGGGGAAGATCCGGGCTCCAGGAGGCACTGGGAGGCTGTTCCAGCAGGAATTCCCCATGGAATTGCGGGCTGTAGGTAGAATTCATCTAAACCTGCAAAGCTGAGAACCGAACCCAAACCTGGGCCCCACGCAGAGAACAATCTTTGTGCTCCGTGTCGGCCAAAGCCCCTGCACTGAGAGATCTTGGCAGCCTGAGGGAGGGCATTCTCTGCATCCCGGCAACCAGCATCTCCCAAGGGGACAATCCAAGTCCCAACCAATTCCTTTTGCCTTTCCACGGGGACACTGACCCTTCTTTGGTCCTGCTCTCCCACGGTTCATTTTGGGGGAGTGGTTTGTGCTGGTTTACGTTCCACAACTCCACCCACAGCTGGAGGTTTGGGGTTGTGCTTCTCTACTCCCAGCAGGTTCCCTAAGGAGCCAGATACTCCAACAATCCCCTGGTTTGACTTTCTAGGTGAATTGTGCACAAGCCAGTCCCCCATTCCCTATCCAGGTTGTAAGTGCTCGTGCCCTTGGCACAGTTGGCTCTGGCTGGGCAGGAACTGAGAGCAGGACACGGGGCAGAGTGGATCAGCTTCCCAGCACATTCCCTGAACTTAAACACCCACATTTTTCTGTGTCTCTCACCACTCATCACCTCAGGTTACCTCAATGGGTTCATTCCCTGCCCTGGAGAGAATCAACCTCCTTTTTAACCCCCAAACTTTCCCCTTCCAGCTCACTCCTGATTACCTCTTCTTGAACACAAAAGAGTCATTCCCTCCCCTAGAGATAACCCCCAGAGTCTTCCCTACCTGCACACTCCTGATTACCTCTTTTTGACCTCCAAATATTCATTCTCTGCCCTGCAGATTTGCTCAAGTTTCACCCTCAGAAATTCCTCTGCCTCTCCCCTCCTGACTTCCTCACTTTCTTCCAAAATATTCCTTCTCTGCTGCACATTGCCACAGATTTGACCTCCACAATTTTCCCTACCTCTCCACAGCTGATCACCTCATGTATACCTAAATATGTCCATGCTTTACCCTACAGACCACCTCAAGTTTACTCTCAAAACTTTCCCTACCTGCGCACCACTGACTACCTCCTTTTGACCTCCAAATATTCATTCTCCACCCTGGAGAGTTTCTCAAGTCTTACCTGTCCACTGATGACTGCCTTAGTTTATCCCAAAATGTTCATTCTCTCTGCCAGACACTGCCACACATTTTACCCCCAGAACCTTCCCTGGGCTCGCTGGAGTGTCCACTCCTGATTGCCTCCTCTGCACCTCTCAGGATTCATTCTGGACCCTGGAGATTGCCTCAAAGATTTCTGCCCTAAATGTGCCCGCCTGGCCACCACTGATTACCTCAGTTGACCTCATGATGTCCTTTCTCTCCCCTGGAGATAACCTCGTTCAAAACCCCCAAAGTTTGAACTCAAAATATTCATTCTCTGCCCTGGATGGTACCTCAAGGTTTACCCCCAAATGTTTCTGTTCCTGCCCACCCCTGACTGCCTCAGTGTCCAGCAGGAGGTACAATCTCTGCTCCACATGACCTCAAAGTTTACAAACAGAATTTTCCCTCCCTGCCCACCACTGACTGCCTCACTGTACCTATAAATGCTCATTCTGCCTCTACAGATGAGATCAAATTTTACACCCAACATTTCCCTGCCTCTACATCACCCATTTTCTCTTCCTGATGCCCCAAATTTCCATTCCATCCCTACACATTCCCTGTTTCCCTCCAAAGCATCCTTCCCTTGTTCCCTGTTTAAGAACTCACACTCCAGCCCCAGGTTCTCCACTCCCCCCTCAGTGGGACCCCTCCAAAATGCACCTCCCTCCCCTCTGCAGCACCTCACCTTTTCCTACACAAACAGTTGCTGTGTCCCCTCCAAATTACCCCAAGGTTGCAGCTACAAATGTCACCTCTGTCCCTGCCATGTTCTCCCAAGTTTCCCCAGCTGGGAGCTGCAAGGAATTCAGGCCAGGGAATGGACAGCAGGGAACAGCTGTACATGCAAAGGCAGAAAGAGAAGATCTGTCAGCAAAAGGCAGGAAGAAGGGGACAGGTTTCAGAAAAAATTTCTGCAATCCAAGGAATAACTCTTTCCAGTTTCCCAGGGAGAAGAACAGGAACTCACAGCCACCAAGGCCTGACAGTCCCCTGCAGCCAGAGCTCAGCACACACCCAGAGAGCCAATTCCAGCATCTAAAAGAAAAAAAAGAAGACAAAAGTGATTTATTTTGTTTTAAAGTTATTTTAAGTCATTCAAAGCAAAGCAAGCCTTGCTCTGGTTTCAGTTGGGTGAACAGGGAGCGCTGGGCACAGGGCACATCATTAATGCCCAGGGGATGGGGCTTTGTGGGGGAGGGAAGAGCAGCTGATGGAGTTGCCCAGTCCAATTCCTGCCCAAGGCCTGACTCGCCCAGGACAAACCCTCTGGCAGGCAGTGGTTTTGTTCCCTCTAATGGTCTGTGCCCAAAGACAGCACTCTCTGCTCAAAGACACTTCTGGGCTCCTTGGCAAACTGCCTCTGACACTTGGTTTTCTCCAGAAGAAATTAAGGAATTGCTCATGGCAGTTTGGAGATGAAGTTTTCCCAAAAGGAGGAAAAGAACAAATATTCCTGTCAGAGCCCTTGGGATCTGCTGGGCTGAATTGGGAAGGGCCCATTATCTGCAGTGCAAATACAGGACAACCTCAAACACAAAGCCCAGACTGCCAAGTGGGGTGTGAAAGCAGCACTGGGACAAAACTCCACTCTCCTGATTCTTTTCAGGGACTGCTCCAATCCAGCTCTGAAGCTGCCAAGCCCAAACTGTCCCCAGCGCTCTGGAACAACAGGATCTTCCCAGGGATGATGTATTGGAAACACAGCCCTCATTCTCACCTTCCACACACTCCCAGGCTCACCCCAAATTCAGGACAAGGGGCCAAAGGCCACTCGGGCCGGGGCTCTCTCTGTCTCTGTGGGCTCAGGGACTGCAGCCACCAGGGCCCTCCAGCACGGACAGCCCGGACCCAGAGCAGATCCCTCGGGATTAGCAGCGTCCTGGGCATCCCTGGAGACAGAAACCATCAGCCTCTGGGGACAGCACTTCCTTGCCAGCACACACAGCCTGCCAAATTTAGGGGGGCAGCTCTCAGACCACAAAGCCCAGTCTGACCCAGTTCTCCTGGGCACCAACACGGACTACACAAACCCACAGGAATGAGAATCTTCTGCTGCTTTGACAAACTTCAGCCCAGCTTTGCAAACCTCAGTCCCTGCAGCTCCCTGCTCTCCAGAGCCCCATTCAGGGCTGGCTCCAGTTCCCTGGAGAACCTGCCCCAGCCCCACTCTGGGCCAGCCTGAGCAGAAGCCACTGGGCTGCACAAGGAAGAACCCTCCCCTGGCTGCTGCAGCTGGAGGGAGATCCAGCTCCCAATGGAACCCTGGCAACAGCCTCCCAGATGGTCTCTACCCACCCCTTGGCAATGGCTCAGGATGGCAGCAGCTCCAGTGCCAGCTCGGTCCCTGCACGAGTCCTTGTCCCAGCCCTGCCACACGGACACACACGGGAGACATCTACGGGCACACAGGCCTTGCTTGCACAATTCCTCACCCACAGCTGAGGGAAAGCCACAACATTAAGAAATACCCTGGGCTGAGAGCACTCATCCCTCCAGTCCATCAGGACTTGGAGGCAGTTGGGTAGGGAACAGACCCAAATTCTAATCCTACCTCTACATTTCTAACAGGTTCTCTTAGAACGATCCTGGACAGGAACTCAGACAACAGAACCCAAACACTGCTCAAGCAATAACAGAAGGTTTGCCATGAAGAACAGGAGTTCCTTGTTTTCCTTAACACTCTGGGACTGGAGGACCCAATCTTTGCAACCAAGGGACACCAGAGATGTGATTAATACTTAAACCTCTCCCCCGTGGTTCTGTCTCAGAGAACTGGGCCAGCCCTGAGCTACTCCCAGGTGCCTGCAGTGCTTTGGGGAGGGGCAGGACAATGTCCCACTTCTGCTTGGAAACATTCCAGATGAGGAAAAGCCACTTCCCTTCTCTCTCTCTGACCCAGAACCAGAACAGTCCTGTAGGACAACACGGACTATGCACGAAAGGCCCGAGTCAGTGGGGGGAAAAGCCTAAACAAACCAAACCACCCCAAATTTCAAGATAAAAACACGCTGCTTCCTTAACAGGAGCACACCAAACTCATTGAAGCCAGAGAGGAAATTACAAACAAACAAATAAACAAACAAAAGACCCCAAAAGATGCTTTGCAGTGATACATTCCCTGGTTGATCATTCCAAAGGAAATTCTCCACAGATCAGAAGCAAGTACCAACACTTGCTTGTCCTCTGTTGAAAATTAATGACTTGAGGGGCTGGACATGTCCAGTGAGGGTTCAGGGGTCTGGTGGGTCCTTTATGGCTGATCCCGACCGGCCCAGGCCAAACCCAACCACCCCCATGGCTGCTCCATCCCAAACCCGGGGACAACATTCAGACAGTTTGGAAATACTCCCCTTCCCTGCTACTCTGTCCTTCCTTACACATCCAGTGCCCAGGGAGCAAATGCCAACAGGCAGGAGGAGAGAAAAGTGTCCCTCTGACTTACCCCACCCCACGGGCAGCACCAGGAGCCCCCAGCCCGGCCGGCGGGGCTGCAGCCTCTTGCCTTTGGCTGCTCCCAGCCCAGGGCACTTGGCAGAGCTGGGCTGCATTCAGGGCTTTGGCCTGGCCTGGAAGAGAGGAGAACAAGGCCATTAAGAGCACTGGGCAAGTCAAAGGCTCCTGCCCTTCACCCTTCTCTTTAATTGCTCACTAGAGAGTTTGAGCCATGAAAAATCCAGGGGGGACAACAAATGAAACGTGGCCTTTTCCAGCATCTTTATTCCTCTCTACTTCAGGCACTAAAAGGAGGCTCATCTTTCTCACTGCATTCCTTGCCCCACTTGAACAGAACCTTCTTCATTCCAAACCCCCCTTGGTAGTTAGTCAATCCTCTGCCATTGGACTTTGGGCAAAGGAAGAGACACCTGGGATGCTGGAGCCCAGGAAAGGAGGGAGAGGAAGCTGACAGGGAAAGGTTTCAAGGCACTCCAGAACTCAGAAATATGTTCATGCCTTGCCAGCCCACCCCAATTCTCTGCCACCCACCTGAGCTGGGCAGGTGAGGCCAAGGCTCCCCTTCCTCCTGCCAATCACTGTCCCAGCACACGGATCCCCGTGCTGGGCAGCACTTGGAAAAACTTGGGAAAGGCAAAAGGAAAATGGCACTGCCTGTCAGAAAACAAGTGTCCGTGAACAAACCTTCTGGACAAATTTAATCCCATCCCTCTGCCCCAATAAACACAGGGCAGGCAGGTCTCTCCAGCCCAGGGAGAACAGGAAGGAGAACTGCAGGAACACAGGCAGGCACAGGCAGCTCTTGGCACTTCTTCCCTGCAGACCTCTCTGCACTTGGGGCTCTTGGCACTTCATTTATAAAGAAGGGGGGGACAGCAGCCCAGGAATGCCCCTCAAAAACAGGGGCCTGGGCAGCTGGAGATTAGAGGAGGGGAGTTGTGAGGGGAGACACAGAGAGAGAACAGGAACAGGGGTTGTTTGGGAAGAGGTTGTGTGTCCAGCAGGGAGGGGAACTGGAAACACGGGAGGCTGGAGGAATGCAGGGGGTGAGCACGGGCCTGCCTTGGATGGATCCTTTTGCCCTTTGCTCAGGGGCCTCAACTCCACCCTCTCTGAGAGCAGCAGGGAACTGCTGCAGGGGAAGAGTTCATTTAGGCACAAGGCAGCGATGCAGCCACTGGGGCAGGGGAAGAGGGGACAGGAACTGAGAGCAACTGACACAAAAATGACACAATCACCACTGAAAGGGACTTTATTGAGCTGCAACACAAACACAGTCACAGCACGCCAGGGCCAGAGGTGCCCACAGCACCACCAACACAGCAGCTGGGCTTGCAGGAACACCCTCTACTCAAGTTATGGAGCCAGGGGCTGACAGTTGGCATCCATCCTAAAGATGCACTCAGGCATCAGGGCCAAGTCCTGCCCACTCACTGCACAGTTCAGCCCCAGCAGCAGTGGCATTTTCTGCCTCTCCCTCCATCTCATTTGGGACCCAACAGTTCAATGCTGGGGAATTTTAGCTTCATCAATGTTTTACAAAGTTGTGCTTCCTGAGAACTGGTGCATTTTTGAGTCTTCCTGACTCTTCCAGTGCTGCACTTGCCAGGATCCTTTGGGCCTGGTGTTTTGCTGACAGACAGGGCACTCCAGGAAACAACTTCCCACCAGTCATGGAAGAATAGGAACAGCTTAAACAAAGCCAATCCAACACATGGGATACAGACTTAGGGGATACAAAAGGAAAGGAGCAAGGCATCCCATGCTGACTGCCCCAGAGACAGAACTGTGGCTCAGCAGAAATCCCTCCCCCACGGCCCCCTCCCGCTCCCCCCCAGCCCACGCGGCAGCCCCGGGGCAGCCGATCCCGCAGGCTCTGGGACAATTCCTGCGGGTGCCTCCACCCCCGGGGAGGCTGCGGGGCGGCTCCAAGGGGATCCCGCTGGCCAGGCTCTGCCCAACCAAGCCGGCTTTAGGCCACGCCTGGCACTGGGGGCCCGTGGGCACGGGCAGGTTGGCGTGAGCTCCCCGTTGACCACCCCTGGAGCGCTGGGCAGGCGCCCCGGCGGGGCCAAGGGGAGAGGGCACGGAACAGCTGCACACACCTTGGCTGCCTTGGCCCAGCACACACTCACAGCACCTGCAGCCTTTAGCCAGGGCCCCTGAGCACACACAGCCCTTACCCTGCTCCTCAGGGGCAGCAGCCCCGGGGCTCAATTCGCAGCCAACTTCTCATCCTTTCCTTTGGTCCTTTGAGCCCTGGGCAGGGCAGAGACACGGGAGAAGCACCTTCCTGTCATTGATCCCAGAGACAGCAACTCTGTTGTTCATAAAGTCAGTACAATAATTACTGGGATTAGTGGATGGATTAAAGTGTTCCAAAACTTTGTAGCAGGTGGTGAGAATCCTGTAAATATGTCCCACCAGTGGGGAGCAGTGAGTTGTTCTAACCTGATGCCCAAAGGTCACTAATTGACCCCTAGAGTTACTGTTTGCATTTGGTGATCAAGTCAAGTCTTATTTCAAATTAGCAGGGCAATAATTTGCACTTACATACAAAAATCCCTGGTTTACTTACATTGAAGTGTGTTATTTTTCCAGCACGATATCAGTCGGTGCACTGCAGCAATTCAGGAGACAAAAGCCAGTTAATTTTTGCAATCCAGGATGGGAATACGGTCCTCCAGATCAGTTCATTGGTACCCATTAAGTCATTCTGTGCCTTATTTCTTTGTATTACAATATACACACTATGGCATGGACTACTTTTGCCTCCCCCTGTCGTGACTCTGGCACAGGTTATCTGCTCCTGCTTTCTGAAAGTGCCTCCCACTGATAGATTTGGCTGACCCAGCCGTGAGCCATGCATGCTCCCTCTCTTCTCCCAGCACTTGCTTTGGGGCTTTGCCCCATTTCCCCAGTGATTTGTGCTCACTGTCCAGGGGATCTACACCTGTTGCTTAAACCACAGGGCCGTTGGCAACTCCCTCACGAGGCCTCGCTCCTGCCCCGACCCCTGCTCTGGCTCTGGCTTGGATACACCATCTCCATTCCATGGGGCTGCCTTCCTGAGCATGACCTGGCCTGTGCACCCTGGAGGAGCTTTTGACCCAAGGCCTTAGGGGGATTTCAGGCCCTCTTATCATTTGTGTTCCCACTAAAGCCCAATAACGTACTCAGAGCCACTTCTCCAACAGGGGCTATCTTGGGCTGGCTTCCAGTAACTTCCTATTCCCAAATCCTAAGGGCACTTCCTTCCTACCTGGAACAGTTCGTTGGGATACATGCCCGGAATAAAGACAAGTGCCACAAACATTCAAACACACAAAATATCTTTATTGCAGTGAGAAGAAGAAGAATAATAAACTTAGCAAAGAGAA